TCATTTACTGCTGCAGCAAGAGTGCCAGCAGGCCGCATGCGGAGCAGGTGAGCCACCAGCTGGCCGTGCACCCTTGGGCCAGCCACTCGACAAACTGCCACCTTACACGTGCCCCGTGGTGGTCATTTCTCCTCCACCACAAAAGGTGGAGACGTCGCAGCGCCCCACCCCCACCCCCGCCCCCCAGGGCAGGACAGGACGCATCTTGCAACTTTGCTGCTAGGGGCGGGGCTGGGGGGACCGGATGAGCCGAGACCACCTCCACAGCCTCCTAGAAGGCCTGGCCCTAGAACAGCGGCCAGGCCTGACCCTGGGCATGGGCATGTCCCCAATCACGCCTGTGATGCCTGCAAGAGGCGTGCAGGAACGGGGTCGGCGCAGGGCCTGGCACGGGAAGCACTCGCCCCGTTTAGCTGCTAGGCTAGGAAATACTGTTGCTCGTGGCTCAGACCGATGGGGATGAACGCGTCTGAACAAAGAGCACTAGAGCCCAGAAGGACTCTGAAGACCTTTGCTGGTCTCTGATTGTGGAGAGGACGCTGAAGCCGGAGACAGAAGGGACTCATCCCAGGACCCACAGGGAAGGAAGGGACCACGAACCAGCCCCCTCCACTCCTGCATGGGGTGGGTTCTGTGCACCATGTATATATTGTCCAAGGGTCCTTCCACAGCCAAGCCTCAGAGGGGCCTGAGGCACAATTTGGCTCCTGTCCCATCGCCGCCCTGGGCCTGCTTCCTAGAGGCACAAAACAGTCTGTAAAAGCCTTCTAGTTGCAACATTCCATGGCTTCAAGCACTGGGCTCAACACACCACAAACAGGTAGCTAGAAACTTCATTGACTGGAACCTTTCCCAGAAGCGCCTTCCTGGGGAGAAATAAGCAAAGGCCAGGGCCTCGGAGTCATCTGATGGCCTAGTGAAGCTAGCGAAGTCCTTCCCCGCTACCAGGCTTGAACCTATTCTGTTTCCCTGCCCACACCCCTCCTCTCTGCTAGGCAAGTAGGGCCCACAAGACTAGCCCTCCTTTACCAGCGGGCAGACTGAGGTCCCCACCGGCCAGAGCTCTCCCAGAGCCCCCAAAGCTGGCCCCAGAACGCAAGAGGCACTTGGAGGACCAGCCACTGGAGCAGAGCACACGCCCCCTAATGACCACTAAGCGAAACACAAGACCAAAGATCTCTGGAAGGAAGAAGTCCTGGGGGCGGAGCCCAGAGCCGGTCTGTGCTCTCCTGTCTCTCTGGCTGGGTCTGTTGCAGATGAAAGGCCCCACCCTGCTGCACCTGTGCAGTCTAGTCGTCTCCAAAGCGTCCGGCAGCACATGTGACTGGGATTGCCTCTGGAACCTCTAGAAGACAGGAATGACACCTTCACTTCTCATCCTAGCTTCCTGCGCCCAACCCAGACCAACCCCGAACAAGCTTTCAGACACGTTCAAGGGAGAAGTGGAT